TACTTGGACAGAGGGGGTGGCGGTGGACGTGGTATACTTGGACAGAGGGGTGGCGGTGGACGTGGTATACTTGGACAGAGGGGTGGCGGTGGACGTGGTATACTTGGACAGAGGGGTGGCGGTGGACGTGGTATACTTTGACAGAGGGGTGGTGGGACGTGGTATACTTGGACAGAGGGGTGGCGGTGGACGTGGTATACCTGGACAGAGGGGTGGCTGTGGACGTGGTATACTTGGACAGAGGGGTGGGTGGCGGTGGACGTGGTATACTACTTGGACAGAGGGGGGGGCGGTGGACGTGGTATGCCTTGGACAGAGGGGTGGCGGTGGACGTGGTATACTGGACAGAGGGGTGGCGGTGGACGTGGTATGCCTGGACAGAGGGGTGGCGGTGGGTGGTGGTATGGTATACTTGGACAGAGGGGTGGCGGTGGACGTGGTATACTTGGACAGAGGGGTGGCGGTGGACGTGGTATACTTGGACAGAGGGGTGGAGGTGGACGTGGTATACTTGGACAGAGGGGTGGCTGTGGACGACGGGTATACTTGGACAGAGGTGTGGCTGTGGACGTGGTATACTTGGACAGAGGGGGTGGCTGTGGACGTGGTAAACTTGGACAGAGGTGTGGCTGGTGGACGTGGTAAACTTGGACAGAGGGGGTGGTGGACGTGGGTATATATTTGGACAGAGGGGTGGCGGTGGACGTGGTATACTTGGACAGAGAGGGGTGGCGGTGGACGTGGTATACTTGGACAGAGGGGTGGCGGTGGACGTGGTATACTTGGACAGAGGGGTGGCGGTGGCGGTGGACGTGGTATACTTGGACAGAGGGGGTGGCGGTGGACGTGGTATACTTGGATTAGGGGGGCAAAAGCGTTCGACACACTGGTTCCCCACACGGCTAAAAGTCTACAGGCTGGAAAAATCTGTATGTAAATGGTTAGAAAACTGGCTAAAAGATCTATACAGAGAGTAGTTGTTAATGATGGTATACTTCATAATGGTGAATGGTCTAGGGTGTGTCAGTGGTGTACCCCAAGGTTCAGTGTTATTAGTGGGGTACCCAAGGTGGAAGGTTCAGGTTATTGTTATTAGTGGGGTACCCCAAGGTTCAGTGTTATTAGTGGGGGGTACCCCAAGGTTCAGTGTTATTAGTGGGGTATTAGTGGGGTACCCCAAGGTTCAGTGTTTTAGTGTGGGGTACCCCAAGGTTCAGTGTTATTAGTGGGGTACCCAAGGTTCAGTGTTATTAGTGGGGTACCCCAAGGTTCAGTGTTATTAGTGGGGGTACCCCAAGGTTCAGTGTTATTAGTGGGGTACCCCAAGGTTCAGTGTTGGGACCCTTACTTTTTAATATATTTATAAACAATATGGTGTCGGGGATTCAGTCTTTGCAGTCTTTGCAGATGACAACCAAGCTGTGTGCCGGGGGAATAATAACGTCCTTACAGGATGTCCCCAACTTACAAGCCGACCTCAATGCTCTGTGTAATTGGGGGACTATGGGGCCAATGAGGTTCAATGTGATATAATGTAAGGTAAGGTCTGCACTTGGGGGGACTAAGAATTTGCATGCATCATACATACTAGGGGGGTTGTAACGGAACTGACCCCCATTTAGTAACAAGAGACAAACAGGTATTCAACTTCACACCAGCAGACAGTCCCATCAGGAGGAGGGAGGGGGGCCAACACCCCCCACTAAGCAAATACACATAAACACATATGTCATCCCATAATAGTTTTAAGCACCCAAGCCCAAGTATACAATAGAACATAATGGGGATGCAGCCATATGACACACCAACACCATAACCATGTATACCCCCCCCCCATATGATCTCCTATGACATAATACATAATATTAGGATCATTATCACCCTGTACCCATAAAGGGGGGTATGTGAGCACCATGTACACATACAGGGGTATATGGGGAGCTGAGACGGGTCTCCCCACCTCTCCCTAAGTGAGCTGTGTTCCATGGGATATGATCCCATGGGTCAATGGTGGGGATAGATCTCCATCTGGGGGTTCTGGTAAATCACAAGCTTAATATGTAGCAATGCCAAAGGGGGGTGGAAAAGCGACAAAATCCTCTCTTGTATTAGGAGAGGTATATGGACTCATTCCAGAGAAGATATCATTTAGGTATATCCCCCCATCTGGAATATGCAGTTCAGGGGGCTCCATTCACAAAAAGTACATACATAAGGGGGGATATGATCTCCATGTATAAAGTACAGGGGGGCATAAACTGATAAGAGGCCATGGAGGAGATAGCATAAGGGATTAGAGGAACTAATGTATTCTCTATGAGAAGAGGACATAAGGGGGGATATGATCTCCATGTATAATACATAAAGGGGGGATATGATCTCCATGTATAATACATAAGGGGGGATATGATCTCCATGTATAATACATAAGGGGGGATATGATCTCCATGTATAATACATAAGGGGGGATATGATCTCCATGTATAATGTAAGGGGGGATATATCTCATAATACATAAGGGGGATATGATCTCCATGTATAATACATAAGGGGGGGATATGATCTCCATGTATAATACATAAGGGGGGATATGATCTCCCATGTATAATACATAAGGGGGGATATGATCTCCATGTATAATACATAAGGGGGGGTATGATCACCATGTATAATACATAAGGGGGATATGATCTCCATGTATAATACATAAGGGGGGATATGATCTCCATGTATAATACATAAGGGGGGATATGATCTCCATGTATAATACATAAGGGGGGATATGATCTCCATGTATAATACATAAGGGGGGATATGATCTCCATGTATAATACATAAGGGGGGGATATGATCTCCATGTATAATACATAAGGGGGGATATGATCTCCATGTATAATACATAAGGGGGGGATATGATCTCCATGTATAATACATATAGGGGGGGATATGATCTCCATGTATAATACATAAGGGGGGATATGATCTCCATGTATAATACATAAGGGGGATATGATCTCCATGTATAATACACATAAGGGGGGGATATGATCTCCATGTATAATACATAAGGGGGGGGGTATGATCTCCATGTATAATACATAAGGGGGGATATGATCTCCATGTATAATACATAAGGGGGGATATGATCTCCATGTATAATACATAAGGGGGGGGGTATGATCTCTCTCATGTATAATACATAAGGGGGGATATGATCTCCATGTATAATACATAAGGGGGGATATGATCTCCATGTATAATACATAAGGGGGGGATATGATCTCCATGTATAATACATAAGGGGGGATATGATCTCCATGTATAATACATAAGGGGGGGATATGATCTCCATGTATAATACATAAGGGGGGATATGATCTCCATGTATAATACATAAGGGGGGATATGATCTCCATGTATAATACATAAGGGGGGATATGATCTCCATGTATAATACATAAGGGGGGATATGATCTCCATGTATAATACATAAGGGGGGATATGATCTCCATGTATAATACATAAGGGGGGATATGATCTCCATGTATAATACATAAGGGGGGATATGATCTCCATGTATAATACATAAGGGGGGATATGATCTCCATGTATAATACATAAGGGGGGATATGATCTCCATGTATAATACATAAGGGGGGATATGATCTCCATGTATAATACATAAGGGGGGATATGATCTCCATGTATAATACATAAGGGGGGATATGATCTCCATGTATAATACATAAGGGGGGATATGATCTCCATGTATATATACATAAGGGGGGGGGATATGATCTCCATGTATAAATACATAAGGGGGGATATGATATGATCTCCATGTATAATACATAAGGGGGGATATGATCTCCATGTATAATACATAAGGGGGGATATGATCTCCATGTATAATACATAAGGGGGGATATGATCTCCATGTATAATACATAAGGGGGGATATGATCTCCATGTATAATACATAAGGGGGGGATATGATCTCCATGTATAATACATAAGGGGGGATATGATCTCCATGTATAATACATAAGGGGGGGATATGATCTCCATGTATAATACATAAGGGGGGATATGATCTCCATGTAGAATACATAAGGGGGGATATGATCTCCATGTATAATACATAAGGGGGGATATGATCTCCATGTAAAGGGGGGATATGATCTCCATGTATAATACATAAGGGGGGATATGATCTCCATGTATAATACATAAGGGGGGATATGATCTCCATGTATAATACATAAGGGGGGATATGATCTCCATGTATAATACAAGGGGGATATGATCTCCATGTATAATACATAAGGGGGGGGATATGATCTCCATGTATAATACATAAGGGGGGGATATGATCTCCATGTATAATACATAAGGGGGGATATGATCTCCATGTATAATACATAAGGGGGATATGATCTCCATGTATAATACATAAGGGGGGGATATGATCTCCATGTATAATAGATAAGGGGGGATATGATCTCCATGTATAATACATAAGGGGGGGATATGATCTCCATGTATAATACATAAGGGGGGGATATGATCTCCATGTATAATACATAAGGGGGTGTATAATACATAAGGGGATATGATCTCCATGTATAATACATAAGGGGGATATGATCTCTCCATGTATAATACATAAGACTAACTATGTAGCTATGTAATGTCGTCCCCCCCCCTCCCTCCCTATGGCAGCTGGCGGTCCATTGCTATGGGATACCACACTCTGATCCCCCATTTATGGGCAGCCAGAGGTGATCCGAGGTCGGTTGCTATGGGTTACTACACTCTGATCCCTCCTCCCCCATCTATAGGCAGGGGCTGAGGTCAGTCGCTATGGGTTACTACACTCTGATCCCTGTTAACGGGCAGCCTTGGGTCAATTACTATGGGTTACTGCACTCTGATCCCCCATATATGGGCATCTGAAAGTTGGTTGCTATGGGTTACCACACTCCCCGCCCCCTTCTTACATCTGATGGTGTGGAATCCGACCCTCGGCTGCTTCTCGAAGCTCTCCCCGAGTCTCAGCACTCGCTCTTTGCTGTCAAACATCGAACAGGCCGAACCATTCATCGCTGCGCTCTCCAGTTCCGAACATCTGCCTCGGCCAGCCACAGACTCCGTGTGCCAAACATCAGGAGGCAGGGCCAGGGAGTTCGGCGGCTTTCGATTGGCGGCCTGGAAAAAATTTGGCCGCCGTGATTCGCCGTTTGGATATGACGTCACCAGCAAACACCGCCCTCTCTACCTGTTCCTGGGAAAGCTCAGTAAAGGATTTCTATTCCTAGAACAACTTCTGTCATCTGCAGTGTCTTCAGTACGGCCGATCAGCCCTTTATATCAATGGAAAAGACGTCAACAAAATGGCGCAGACAAAGGAGACAACCTTGTATAAATAAATGAACCTCTAGTTTCAAAAAAGTTATCGCCAATAGTAGCGATTCCGCGGACGGGTTGTTTTCTCCCGAAATGCAGTGCGGCCGCGGCCTGGGCAGGAAGGGAAGCCTGGCTGGAGTTTGTTATCGGTTGCTAGGAGACGAGGAGCTGCACCGGGCCGGTTACATAGGGACCTGTGAGAGGCCCTTCATGGTGAGAGGACTGAGAAAGGGGCATTACAGACCCAGTAGCTCGGGGGAGGGAGGCAGCTGTGGTTGCTATGGGTTACAGCGCTGCTATGGCCATAGCTAACATCTGTTTCTGATTTCGAGGGACTGTCCCTCTTTTGGAACAAAGTCCCTCATTCATCCCTTCTGCTCTGATCTATAAAGTTGCATATAAAGTGCAGTATTTATCTAATTTCTAAATTGTTGTATTTGCACATTTCACACATCAATATAAAGGAATAGATGTGATAAAAAAAGGGGACATTAGAGATGCCCATAGACAATAATGGAACAAAGAGGATGCCCATAGAGAATAATGGCACAAAGGGGATGCCCATAGAGAATAATGGCACAAAGGGAATGCCCAAGAGAATAAATGGCACAAATGGGATGCCCATAGAGAATAATGGAACAAAGGGGATGCCCATAGACAATAATGGAACAATGGGGATGCCCATAGAGAGTAATGGCACAAAGAGGATGCCCATAGACATTAATGGAACACAGGGGATGCCCATAAAGAATAATGGAACAAAGGGGATGCCCATAGAGAATAATGGAACAAAGGGGATGCCCATAGAGAATATAGGAACAGAGAGAATTCCCATAGAGAATAATGGAACAAAGGGGATGACCATAGAGAATAATGGAACAGAGAGAATTCCCATAGAGAATAATGGAACAAATGGGATGCCCATAGACATTAATGGAACACAGGGGATGCCCCTAGAGAATAATGGAACAGAGGGAATTCCCATAGAGAATAATGGAACAGAGGGAATTCCCATAGACAATAATGGAACAAAGGGGATGCCCATAGAGAATGATGGAACAAAGGGGATGCCCATAGAGAATAATAGAACAGAGAGAATTCCCATAGACAATAATGGAACAAAGGGGATGCCCATAGAGAATAATGGAACAGAGAGAATTCCCATAGACAATAATGGAACAAAGGGGATGCCCATAGAGAATGATGGAACAAAGGGGATGCCCATAGACAATAATGGAACAAAGGGGATGCCCGCAGAGAATAATGGAACAAAGCGGATGTCCATAGAGAATGATGGAATAAAGGGAATGCCCACAGAGAATAATGGAACGGAGAGAATTCCCATAGAGAATAATGGAACAAAGGGAATGCCCACAGAGAATAATGGAACAGAGGGAATGCCTACAGAGAATAATGGAACAAAGGGGATGCCCACAGAGAATAATGGAACAGAGGGAAGGCCTACAGAGAATAATGGAACAAAGGGGATGCCCATAGAGAATAATGGCACAAATGGGATGCCCATAGAGAATAATATAACAGAGAGAATTCCCATAGACAATAATGGAACAAAGGGGAATTCCCATAGACAATAATGGAACAGAGAGAATTCCCATAGAGAATAATGGAACAAAGGGGATGCCCATAGACAATAATGGAACAAAGGGGATGCCCATAGAGAATAATGGAACAAATGGGATGCCCATAGACATTAATGGAACAGAGGGAATTCCCATAGACAATAATGGAACAAAGGGATGCCCATAGAGAATGATGGAACAAAGGGGATGCCCATAGAGAATAATGGAACAGAGAGAATTCCCATAGACAATAATGGAACAAAGAGGATGCCCATAGAGAATGATGGAACAAAGGGGATGCCCATAGACAATAATGGAACAAAGGGGATGCCCGCAGAGAATAATGGAACAAAGTGGATGCCCATGGAGAATGATGGAAAAAAGGGAATGCCTACAGAGAATAATGGAACAGAGGGAATTCCCATAGACAATAATGGAACAAAGGGGATGCCCATAGAGAATAATGGAACAGAGAGAATTCCCATAGACAATAATGGAAGAAAGGGGATGCCCGCAGAGAATAATGGAACAAAGCGGATGCCCATAGAGAATGATGGAACAAAGGGAATGCCCATAGAGAATAATAATTTCATGCTCCCAACTTTGTTCCAACATGACTGCCCACCAGTGCACAAAGCAAGGTCTATAAAGATATGGAGGAGCCAGTTTCGGGTGGAGGAACTTGACTGGCCTGCACAGAGTCCTGACCTCAACCCCATAGAACACCTTTGGGATGAATTAGAGCGGAGACTGTGAGCCAGGCCTCCTCCCCCGACATTAGTGCCTGACCTGACAAATGTGCTTCTGGAAGAATGGTCCAACCTTCCCATAGACACCCTCCTAAACCTTGTGGACGGCCTTCCCAGAAGAGTTGAAGCTGTTATAGCTGCAAAGGGCGGGGCCAACTCAATATTGAACCCTACGGACCAAGACTGGGAGGCCATTAAAGGTCATGTGCGTGGAAAGGCTGGCAGCCCAATACTTTTGACAATATAATGTTTGGTTCTGACTCCAGGTCACATTTTTCTTTGTGTCATTCATCTGTAATTTCCTAGAAAACAGCTATAATCCCAAATAATTTTATTCTTAAAATCTGATACTCTACTTGGGGAACACGCGTGGGAAAGGTGAATTTGCTACGTGACACAGATTTGTCTGCAAATAAATTCATATTTTGCTTCCCCTTCTTTTCTATGGGCATTCCCTTTTGTCATTCACCTTTCTCATTCCATAGAAAGCAATGATAATCTTGCTTCATCTCAATTTTATACATCACCACTAAACTTGGAGAGTATGTCTGCTAGGGATTTATGTGATATGTCTAATGCTTCTGACTCCATTATTCTCCATGGGCATTCCCTTCTGTTCCATTATTCTCTATGGGCATTCCCTTCTGTTCCATTATTCTCTATGGGCATTCCCTTCTGTTCCATTATTCTCTATGGGCATTCCCTTCTGTTCCATTATTCTCCATGGGCATTCCATTCTGACTCCATTATTCTCCATGGGCATTCCCTTCTGTTCCATTATTCTCCATGGGCATTCCCTTCTGTTCCATTATTCTCTATGGGCATTCCCTTCTGTTCCATTATTCTCTATGGGCATTCCCTTCTGTTCCATTAGTCTCCATGGGCATTCCCTTCTGTTCCATTATTCGCTATGGGCATTCCCTTCTGTTCCATTATTCGCTGTGGGCATTCCCTTCTGTTCCATTATTCTCCATGGGCATTCCCTTCTGACTCCATTATTCTCCATGGGCATTCCTTTCTGTTCCATTATTCTCCATGGGCATTCCCTTCTGTTCCATTATTCTCCATGGGCATTCCCTTCTGACTCCATTATTCTCCATGGGCATTCCTTTCTGTTCCATTATTCTCCATGGGCATTCCCTTCTGTTCCATTATTCTCCATGGGCATTCCCTTCTGTTACATTATTCTCCATGGGCATTCCCTTCTGTTCCATTATTCTTTATGGGCATTCCCTTCTGTTCCATTATTCTCTATGGGCATTCCCTTCTGACTCCATTATTCTCTATGGGCATTTCCTTCTGACTCCATTATTCTCCATGGGCATTCCCTTCTGTTCCATTATTCTTCATGGACATTCCCTTCTGACTCCATTATTCTCTCCATGGGCATTCCCTTCTGACTCCATTATTCTCTATGGGCATTCCCTTCTGACTCCATTATTCTCCATGGGCATTCCATTCTGTTCCATTATTCTCTATGAGCATTCCCTTCTGTTCCATTATTCTCTATGGGAATTCCATTCTGACTCCGTTATTCTCCATGGGCATTCCCTTCTGACTCTATTATTCTCCATGGGCATTCCCTTCTGTTCCATTATTCTCTATGGGCATTCCATTCTGTTCCATTATTCTCTATGAGCATTCCCTTCTGTTCCATTATTCTCTATGAGCATTCCCTTCTGTTCCATTATTCTCTATGGACATTCCCTTCTGACTCCATTATTCTCCATGGGCATTCCCCTCTGTTCCATTATTCTCCATGGGCATTCCCTTCTGTTCCATTATTCTTCATGGGCATTCCCTCTGTTCCATTATTCTCCATGGGCGTTCCCTTCTGTTCCATTATTCTCCATGGGCATTCCCCTCTGTTCCATTATTCTCCATGGGCGTTCCCTTCTGACTCCATTATTCTCCATGGGCATTCCCTTCTGACTCTATTATTCTCCATGGGCATTCCCTTCTGACTCCATTATTCTCCATGGGCATTCCCTTCTGACTCCATTATTCCCCATGGGCATTCCCTTCTGACTCCATTATTCTCCATGGGCATTCCCTTCTGACTCCATTATTCTCCATGGGCATTCCCTTCTGACTCCATTATTCTCCATGGGCATTCCTTCTGACTATTATTCTCCATGGGCATTCCCTTCTGACTCCATTATTCTCTATGGGAATTCCGCTGCCCTGTTAAAGTCTATGGGCATTCCATTCTGTCATTACTTTTAGTATGTCCCATAGAAATGCACTTGTGGGTTTAACCAATCATTTTTTGTGTATTTATTTTCCATGTAAGGGGTGTGGCCTATGAATACATACTTTTATTTTATAGGTGTCCCTCATTCCCATTTCAGAAAGTTGGGTGGTATGGCTATGGCTTAAAGAATGGAGGTTTATGGGTAACAGGGAATGCAAGCTTCTGATTGGCTGCTTTAGGTTAATTTTTTTTTTTTGCGATTTGCACAATTTTGTGATGTTTCCAGTGTAAGCAGCTTTTTAA